TTGCTTCATACCTATTATGCAGCTGATCTAGTTGAATTATACTCACTTGTAAGTGGTTCACCTACAGATTAACAGTAAGATCGCGTGTGAAAAAACAAACGCCACTTTGCTTTCAGCAGTTTTACTATGCGTGGAGAGGACATGTTCCGGATGTCACTCCAATATAGTGTGATTTTATTTTTCAAATATTACTTTTTGAATCAAATTAGTGAATATTCTCTTCTGTTTCAGCTTCTATGACATCACAATCGGCATTCACGACCCCAGCCGTTTCATCCCACCACCAGAGTGCCCCCAGTAAACATTCCCTATTTTTCTATTTCACATGTTTACTCATCGTAGTTTGTACCGTTTTCTGTATTAAAGGTGTACAAAGTAATAAACGGGGGTCTGTTCATATTATGTTTATCACGAAAGCCATACATCCCCGGTGATAGTGCAATCTCATTAAAATCAGATCTTAGTTCTCGCTACCGCTGAACAAAGATCTGAGGACATCCCATTACGGGTCACGTCGGACCGATCTTGCGCGAACTTTGACCGACCAATGGAATGACCAATCAGAAGGCAGCTTTCTCGTGCTTTACGGCACTAATTTCAAATTGGCGACTTCGCTTCGAAACATATTTTGACAAATTCCGATTAAAAATTTGAAACCTGAACAAAAAAACATTCTGGAATGGCTAATAGATGGTCTAGATTGTAAGGAATCAGTCGTTAAACCCGTAACTATCGTTCGGTATACCCCATGTTAAAGTTTTCGAGGTTGTATGATTAGAAATCACATTCTGACTGTCACTTTCATAATCTGGTAAGCGACGCAGTGATTAGTCGGGTGAAAGGTCTGTCTGACGTGACCCCTAATGGGATGTCTTCAGATCTTTGTTTAGCGGTGAGATTGGGTGATAGTGCTGGAATATTGCTGAACAGCGTAAAACTATGTTCATTTATAAAGTGGACGACAAATAGATCTACACTGATCAGTTAGTGTTCATACCCAATGACACATCTGAACAATAATTTCATGTTTGTTTGTTTGTTTGTTGTTCAACGCCGCACTCTGCAATATTCCAGCTATATGGCGGCGGTCTGTAAATAATCATGTCTGGACCAGTCGATGTAATGAGCATCGATCCACGCAACTGGGATACGATGACATGCACCAACCAAGTCAGCGAGCCTGACCACCCAATCCCGTTAGCCGCCGCCTCTTACGGCAAGCATAGTCACCTTTTACGGCAAGCAGGGGTTGCTGAGACCTATTCTCTACCCGGATCCATTGTCTTTATCACTTACTTACCACAGAATTTCTATCGCTAATGAAATCAACAACCAATCGAAATCACTCTTATTACACCACAAGTGACGTCACCATCTCCATATCCTCACATTTGTCTCGCTTGTGGGCGATTTGACTATTTTGGGCGTCGTCATTCGAATAGAGTTTAATACAAAGCTGTGTTATCGAATGGGTCCAGCGTATTTATTATAACAGAATGGAGACTATACACTGGATAATCAGCAATACTCCAGCTATATGATGGCAGTCTGTAAATAATCGAGCCTGGACCAGACAATCCAGTGGTTGACAAAATGAGCATCGATCAACGCCATTGGGATCGATGACATGCATCAACCAAGTCAGCGAGCGTGACCACCCAATCCGATTAATCGCCTCTTACGCCAAGCATAGTCGCATTTTACGGCAAGCATGGGTTGCTGAAGACCTAGTGCAGAGTAAAGAACATGATACTGAAACAGAATTGATCCCCAGTAACCTACGTTTGCGTCAACGTCATGGGCAGCCGACCACGCTGCAAGAGGAGTAGTTCAGACTCCCTCAAATCGCCATTGGGAGACTAATTTGCTGTATGCGTCGTCGAGTGAATGAATGTTTGACAAATCGTGACGTATTACGCACTACTGATCCAAAAACATATATCGCCCTTCAAGATCGCTGGTGGTCATAAAATCTACTGTCATACTTCAATCCCAATTCGCTCATTATCATCATAAAACTATTTCTAGAAACTAAGATCTCTTACAAGTTTAGAAATGTTATTTCAGAATATCCCCCACTTTTTTAAAGAATAGAATAGCTGCGTCGTAGCTGTTTGTATTAATAGTACATGCAAAATCAACGAAGTCCAGTGACCACCCAATTCTTTAAGACACCCCTTCATACAAGCACGTCTCCCTCTCGTGTCCCAGGCGTGCTCAGTGGAGGAAAGGTCTGGGCTTATTGCTGGCCATGGCAGTTGTGCTGATGCAGGGGAGCATTGACGCTTCGTGCACAGTGAGCACGGGCACTGTCGTCCTGAAAAGCGTCGACAAACACGCCTTGCAAACGGGACAACAAAGGGTGTCAGTATGTTGTCCCGATACTACTGTACCTTTCCTTGCACAGAATGGTGTGGGGTTCGCTCAGTCATATTGTTGCCACCCCACAACATAACCGATACACGGCCAAATTTGTCATGAAGCCTATAAAGGGAGTGCAATGTGCATCGGGACTCATCTGAAAACATGACACATGACCAGCGACGATGACCCCCTGTTTCGACGTTGTGTCCATCATTGACGTCTGTTGGCAATATGATGATCTGTAAGGTGAGAGAGTGAGTGAGTATGGTTATACGCCGCTTTTAGCAATATTCCAGCAATATCACGGTGGGGGACACCAGAAATGGGCTTCACACATTGTACCCATGTTGGGAAACGAAAACAGGTCTTCGGTGTGACAAGCGAACGCTTAAACCACTAGGCTACCTGGCCGCCCCTGATCTGTAAGGGGTGGCACATGTGGCTATATATCGATATATGTGGATATATATCGCTATATATCGTCTTACCCACAACTGGTTATCCAGTAGCCTTGTGAAAATTTGCAGCAGTTTGATTCACCATTTGAGCTCAATTTCGTAAAGCCTGGTTTCAGATCATTCGATCTTGTACTCTTGTCGTTGAACTGGAACGCCCTTTACAGGGTTGGTCATCAACAACTTGAGTTTGTTGCCAATCACAGACTGTGAAACATTGACCATACTGGCCAATGCAGGCTGACTTCTGTCAGTTTCCAGCACGCAAATAGCCAGTAGAGTCTCCACGCATTGCAGACCCAAGAATTCGTGAACAACAATCCAGGACATATTAGCAGTACGACACACAGGTGGTCACACATTGGAACCACCAAATCCCAACTGTAATCAGCTCTTTCAATAACAATTGAGCATGGGAATCAATTCCTCCCACAAATGCAAACACATGAAAGAAAGATAATTTGATCATCAGCCAGAGCTATTTATTGTGTGATACAGGGTTTACCTACACAATGTACACGTACATACACCTGAAGTCAGGTATTTGCCAGCAATTACAATGCCCTTTCAAGAAATATAAGTTTGCAAACATTCATATTTAGATGAAGCCATGATTCTTTGCACCATGCAATAAATTAGTTACATTGTATAATATTGTTATTCTGAAAAGACAAAATTACTAATCCTTGCTACAGGACTCACCCACCCACATCCCCAAAACATTGTAAAATGTTATTCTAATAAACAAAAATACAATTAAATTTTTCAAGACTCTCCCATTCTTCACTCAACTTAATGAGACAATAATCAGGTACCTCCCTCTGGTACAATTCCAAAGCAATCTGTTGACCCAGTACTCGGTGGGCCTGTTTGGCTTTGCATCATGGTGTATTGCAATACTTATACCAGTATTGCAACAGTATAGCAATTGTATTTGGACCCGTGAATATCCGGGGGTAGAATAGGTCTTCAGCAACCCATGCTTGCCGTAAAAGGTGACTATGCTTGTCGTAAGAGGCGACTAACGGGATCAGGTGGTCAGACTCGCTGACTTGGTTAAAGCATGTCATTGATCTCAATTGCATGGATTGATGCTCATGACATTAATCACTGGATTGTCTGGTCCAGATTTGATTATTTTACAGACCGCCGTCATATAGCTTGAATATTGCTGAGTGTGGTGTTAAACAACAAACAAACAAAAAACAAATTTAACAATTGAATTGATATTGCAACCATCAAAATGCCATCGATAAAGTCAGCCATTATAAACATCACTTCTGCTCAAGAATTCAGCTGCTAACTTGGGCAAATCACTACCCTACAATAGGTGTTGACATGATAGAAGTATTGCAGCGTCAGCTTCTGGCCACATACAGCTATCCTTCATAATTTGCAAGGCTAATGTGCCATACAAGCTGAGTCATCCTGTCATACACACAACATAGGAACAAAAAAACACCCACAACATCACAAATCCACTGTGAACAGACCACGATCTGACATAGCTACCAGTTGAAGAAATGAACTGTACATCAACCAAATTAGGTGAGGTGAGGTGAGGTGAAATGTGGTATAACGTCACATTCAAGATTATTGCACTTATACAGCACATGCATGCACATGCGCGTGTGTCTGCTTGTACTAGTCCAGACTAATGCAGTTTAACATGAATACCTCACTCAGACACAGTATACTGACTCCGAGCCGACCATTCCTTGTTTTAGCCCCTTAATGCCAAGTGCCAGACAGGGTAACAACAAGCACCATCTTTTAATGTGTTTTGGTCTGACACGGACGAGGATCTAACCCATGACCTTTCATCCCTCAGGGAGGACACACTACCACTGGACCATGGAGGCGGTCACAAAAGTTTGGGTCAGAAACATCAACACAATGGCTACTCTGTTGTCAGAATTATTCCAGCCATATCACCGCAGCCGGTAATAATCCACGTGGGCCAGCAAACCAGTGGTTGACGTCATGAACAATGTTCCACACAAGGGTAGACACACAATCAATAGCTACTCAGTCTGACTACCCCGCCCAGAGTCGTCGCCTATTATGACAAGCATCATATTCTGAGGGTAAACCAATTCAAGACTATAAAATACGATGTACTCTTCACAATAATTTCATTCACAATCACAAACAACATCCTCTTTGGGTAGAGCTATTTTGTTTATTTCAAACATTTTTTTTTTTAATTTAATGCCATCAAAATCATCAATCTAAACAGATGAACACTGAATAATAGTGTTGATTCATCACATGGTATTAAAACAGACTCATTGACAACGACCCATGATAAATTGGAATCTGTCTAAAACAAATTTGTGTGGAGCTGATATTTCAGTCTGAATTAGAAATATATTCCAGCAAGTATTACATCCCTCACAGTGTCAGTCAAGACTAGCCAGACTCAACTTGATATATCATCAAAATAAATTTGTCTGGGTACTGACCGAGATTTGTCCAATTTTGACAGATTCCACTACAGTAGTACAACACGTTACAGTATGAAAACACTTGCCTCAAAATAGGTTTTTATAAACACAAACAATATATATATATACTGTAAATCGTGAAATTAATGTGTCTCCAAAAGAATGCGACCACTGGACCCTAGCCAAAAATGCGACTCAATATGAATGTGACACCCCCTCTTCTCAAGCATCAGTGGATTTCAATCTAAAGATGTCCTCAGTCAGGTTTAGAATCCTCACCTTAATCCAACCTTACATTAATCCAATCACACACCAAATAGCACCGCTTATTATCGCTGAGTAAAGTACTTCCGCAAAAATAATACATGCGCGCTGGCTCGTGTCGGCCTTTGACGCAGTCGCAAAGAACAAAGGGTGGCGTCTGTCTGGACTTGCAGGTGTGATCAGTGATGACATGAGTGAGTAGAACTCTTGTCTTGAACCCAGCAGTGACAATTAACAGGATGTAATTAGTGTTTGAATGACATTGTTTACATACTTTATATACAAGTGCTGCTCAATAAACAGTGGTGTGGAATACATCAGCGTAAGTCTAAGTTGGTATTTTTGCTACCCAAAATGTCTTACTGTTGATATAAATGTGATGTTTATTAATGCGAGCAAAGATCACTCACATTTTTCGCATTTAATTCACGCTCGTGTTAATTTCAAGATTTACAGTATATCTAGTCAGAAGGCTGGTGAGGTAGCCTTGTGGTTAAAGTGTTAACTCATCACACAGAAAACCTGGGTTCCATTTCCAATACCGATACAATGTGTGAAGCCCATTTCTGGAGTCTCCCACCAAGATATTGCTGGAATATTGCCCAAAGTGGTGCAAAACCATACTCACTCACTCACTCATTCATGTCTGCTATCACAACAAGCTGTCCACATCACCAAACTTATAGTCCCTCCAGATCTGATCAAACAGAGACCGACACCGGACTTTACACCTCAACTTGGTGCACAGGAGGAAGGCGCCAGACATCTTCCTGTGCAGGGAGTAGGTCTCCTCGGGGGGCGGGGTCAGCCTGTGCTTCAGCATCACCGGGACCAGGTTCTGGATCCTGTGGGTGGTGCTCTGCATGCTGAAGTCAAACGTATGCGCTGTTGCAAATGCCTCACCAAGAATTGTTACGGCATCCACGTGAGCATCCATCATCACCTGTAAAGAGAATTGTTTACACCACAAGAAATTAATTATTACCTTTTCATCCACATTTTTCAAAGGTGGGAGACTCTTTTCTATTATATATTTATTTTAGATTTGGTTTGGTTTGTGGTTTTACGCCACACTCAGCAATATTCAAGCTATATGACGCCGGTCTGTAAATAATCTAGTCTGGACCAGACAATCCAGTGATTGATATCATTAGCATCGATCCACGAAATTGGGATCGATGACATGCTTCAACCAAGTCAGCGAGCCTGACCACCCGATCCCGTTAGTCACCTCTTACAACAAGCGTAGTTGCCTTTTATAGCAAGCATGGGTTGCTGAAGACCTATTCTACCCCGGATATTCACAGGTCTTTTTACACTGTTGAAGGCATCTGTGTGTATAAACTGTCAATTAATGTTATTCACGTGATGCATGTCTATTCCTGATGGCCATGTATACAGTATACTGTATATAGGCCGATGGCTTTATTCTCTTTACCGAGTATCTGTAGTGGCCAGGCTATAAATAGAATATACATTTGACGAATAATTATTTGAAAGGTCTTTGAAAAGAACTTAGAAGTGATACACATAAAGTTAATACATTCACCTGATGAAGGAGTAAGCATATACTCCGCAACGTTGTGTTCCTCACAATAAAGAAGTTGACATCCATAAATTCTCTTCCTTATTTTTTTAAATGTTAGCAGTTATTTGTTGTTAGATTTTAGGTTAGTACATTAGGTGTTGATCTTGTAAATATTTTGTAATCCATAACGATCAGCAAAAAAAACACACACAAAAATTAAAACTTTATTTATAATACTTTCTGCTCGTGGTGTTAGATCTTGGTTGTCTAATACACCTAAAAAAGAACTGAAAATTGTGTTGCCTTACTTTGAGTGGGCAAAGTTACACTGAACTGTCATCTGTGGAATAAGGGAGATAACTCTAGTTGCCTGTTTGCTGTGAATGTCCAGCAAGGACTGCTCAGTTGTTCAATAGATCGTGTGTCAACTTAGTGTAAGAGTGAGTGAGTGAGTCTGGTTTAACGTCACTTTTAACAGTAGTCCAGTCATATCACGGTGTGTCAGCTTAATGTGGGAGGAAAGCCTGAAGTGATGCAGGTCTCAGACGTTTACCACTTCGGTGAAACCCATGAGCACGGGTATGGTGCTGACAAACCTAGAAACATGATCAGGGCGAACCGGGATTCGAACCCACAATCATAGGTTTATGGCATGCCTAAGGGTGAGTTGCACAGCGAATCGTGGCGCCTTGGACGACTGGGCCACCCGTGCCCCCACTTAGTGTAGGAGGAAAGCGAGACACAGGTTGTTGATAATTACCACCCAGTGAAACCTACGACACAAGAACCGTTATGTGCTCCGAGGGATCATATTGGAGCTTGAGCTGGAATGTAAGCTCATGATGAGCGGATCTTGGCCTGGCTAATGGAGGCTTCGTTTGACCTACCTCTTTCCCCTAACACATCAGTCAACTGAGAAAAGCCCCACTATGGTAACATAAGGGACATAGCCTTAAAAGTTGAATGCTGTTGTCCAAAGGATACCTTATGAGACAAACTGACTGGCCAGTGAGCTGATAACAATTCCCGCAACAGTTAAATGTTCAAGCTTATTCAAATGTTCCTGTTTATGTGTCTGGATGTAAAGAGTAGCTAATTTAGGTTCAGATCCTGTAAGAAACAGGGTAAAATTTTGGTTCAAAGGTGTTGCGCTAGCTGAGGTTCAGATCCTGTAAATTAAGGAGAAGTGCAAACTTAGGTTCAGACCCTGTAAGGAGTAGTGCAAACTCATGTTCATACCCTGTAAGGAGTAGTGCAAACTCATGTTCAGATCCTGTAAGGAGTAGAGCAAACTTAGGTTCAGACCCTGTAAGGAGTAGTCCAAACTTAGGTTCAGACCCTGTAAGGAGTAGTGCAAACTTAGGTTCAGACCCTGTAAGGAGTAGTGCAAATTCGTGTTCATACCCTGTAAGGAGTAGTGGTAACTTAGGTTCAGATCCTGTAAGGAGTAATCCTTACATGGCTTCAGATCTTGTAAATAGCAGTGTAGTTTCAGACCCTGTAAGGAACAGTGCTAACTTCAGGTTCAAAGCCTGTATGAAATGAGTAGTGCTTACTTCAGGTTCAGACCCTGTAAGGAGTAGTGGTACTTAGTTTCAGACCCTGGAGTAGTGCTCACCTTTGTCTCATAGCCTGTGAGGAAACCCATATCAATGGAACCAGAAAGAATTGTGTCTCGATCTCCGACAGAAGCCGCCTTTATCACTTTGATGTACTTGTCTACAAACGACTTGTCAAATTCTCGGCTTGCTCCAAAGTCCAGAAGTACCAGCTGAAACAAACACAGTTTTATAAATAGAGTCACAGGACTGTGTAATGTCACCATCACCAATTCTATAACTTCCTTATTATAGTACTTTATATGACAACCCCTTCACAGTACTGACCTTGCCAGTTGATGGGTTGTAGAAGAAGTTGGACCAGTTGGGATCCGTCTGCATGAACCGGAACACAAACAGCTCCAGCAGGCACAGCTTCAACACACTTTCCCCCAGCTGCAACATCATCATCATATGTACATCAACATCCTTCAGCTAAAACAGTGTTACTGTAGGCTACAACAACATGATAATGCACTGCAATGTTTTGTATTTAGTGTCACTTAAAGAGACAGGCTTCAATCATCAAAGACCAGACATATTTTGTAAACTTGGGACAACTGAACCAACAATGTCTCAGCATGTTCAACATTCTTGTACACACCAGCAGAAAAAATGATAACTTTGCATGACCATGCGACACTTTGTGGTGAGCGGCAAGTGTTGCATCACAGCATATACAATGCACTGACACATGTCACAGATTAAAGCATCCTGTCACTATTAATCTGCATTTCAACAACACCACAGGAGTGAGTGAGGGAGTATAGTTTCATCCCGCTTTTAGCATGTTTAGCAATATTCCAGCAATATCAAGCAGGGGGCACCAGAAATGGGCTTCACACATTGTGCCCATGGGGATTCGAACCCTGGTCTTCGGTGTGACAAGCAAATGATTTTAGCACAAGGCTACACTTCACCACAGGAAAAAACCCCGCATGTTTAGGTAAACATTATCATAAATTCCTAAGCTTATGCTCTTATTAATCCATAAATTTATGAATCGACCTGGGTTTAATGGCATATCAGCTTGGAGGTTTGACACAGGTCGTAGATGTTTACTTCCTCGGTGAAACCCACGAGCCAGGTTGACAAATCAAGGTCATAATCTGGGATTCGAACCCATCATCGCAATCATGGACGTTAAGGAACCCAACACCAAACCGCAGCAGCTTAAACCACCGGGCACTGATTACCCCACCAATCATCTATAATCAGCTTCTAACAATCTCATCAATCTCAATTTAACTGTACATGTATTCATACTTGGAACCAAGCAACGCATCCTTGTTGTTAAGTCGAAGATCCTAGTAGATGGGAAGGTCCCCCCCCTTCCAGTTCCAGTTCCAGTTCCATTTCCATTTCCATTCAACTAGTTAGAGTGTGTGTGTGAACATCATAGCTAAGATCATGCATGAAATCCTAAATGGAGTAAGTGAGTTGGGTTTAACGCCGCTTTTAACAGTATTCCAGTTACATCACGGCGTGTCAGCTTAATGTGTGAGGAAAGCCCCAAGTGATGCAGGTCTCAAGAAATTAACCACTTCGGTGAAACCCACGAGCACGGTTATGGTGCAGACAAACCTAGAAGCATAATTTGGGCGAACCGGGATTCAAACCCACAATCATAGGTTTCTGGCGTGCCCAAGGGATGCAACTCTGCACAGCGAATCGCGGCGCCTTAGGCGACTGGGCCACCCGTGCCACCCTAAATGGAAAGACATCGATTTCTGTCATCCGCATCCGTTTCTAAACATATTGCAGGGATTTGCTGGATTTTATCATTTTCGCTTTCGTAGTAAACGTAACAGTCGGGAGAATGACAGACTTTGCTTATGACAAGACTAATTTATTATTTACTTACAAGAAATTTTAGATCCAATAAATATTAATATCATGTACTGTTATTATGTACTGTGAAACTTTAAATGCAGGTTTGATTATGTTTCTGTGCGATATTTCAGGCACAACTCATTTTTAAAATGCATGAGTGTAATTCAATTTGCACCAATCCCACAATTGCACCCTCGCAAAATCTCTTTACATGTCATGATGGCACATGGCCCTCCAGAGGGGAGTCCACAGGCGGATCCAGAGGGGGTCCAGGGGGTCCGGACCACCCCTCTTTTGAAAACTAAATGTAGCATGGACAATCACCAACCACTGAGAGAGGATTTTGATATTCTGGACCCCTCCCTTTAAAAAGCTGGATCCGTCCTTTCAATCACTGGTTTGCCTAGGTCACACTCGATTATATAAAGGCTCCTGTGACACAGCAGGAATATTGCTGACTTGCTGTTACACAATATTCTCTAACTCAATCACATGCATCCCTGCAAACAATTTCATGAGCAGGTCTTCACCACCTCAACATAATTTGATTGAGGAGGAAACTAACAAGTTGTCTCAAGGACAAGTGTTTTACATCCATATCAATGGAGCGGCTGTATCTCTGCCAGGCCCTATTCACCACAGCAGATCATGTATGCCCTCCAAGGATGCTGTTAAATCAACAACAAGCTGTCAACATGGCACTCTACACCATTCATTCTCCATGTACAACAGGAAGTGCTGTCTCCAGAATATACACCACTTTCATCATTTGTAAAGCAGGCTGCATTAGACTTGATGAACTTGATACAGCTCATAAAGTTGAATTTACACAGCAATTAACGTTTGTTTAAAGGCCTGAATGTGGGGATGTTATATTTTTCTTGTAAATGGTTTCTTGGGGTTCAAGGAACTTGCACCTTTAACAGTTATCCTGGCAGCCATAGATGGATGAGATTTCGCTACCATGGTTACTGATGTTGAACTTGACAGGAAGGGATTTATCAAGGATTCCAAACTAAGTCCCATTGTCAGGCAAACTGGGTAACATTATCATTTTGTTCTAAGATGGATCTTATTAAGTTCTTATTTTCTCACATTCAAAGGTATTTTAACATTGTATTTCAATGTCGCATTCAATGCAATAATGCAGAACTGCAAAGTGGCATCGGTCTATTACTACAGGAAAGACCACTTCTGTGGCAAGGACTGCAAAGTGGCATCGGTCTATTACTACAGGAAAAACCACTTCTGTTACAAGGCCTGCAAAGTGGCATCGGTCTATTACTACAGGAAACACCACTTCTGTTACAAGGCCTGCAAAGTGGCATCGGTCTATTACTACAGGAAACACCACTTCTGTTACAAGGCCTGCAAAGTGGCATCGGTCTATTACTACAGGAAACACCACTTCTGTTACAAGGCCTGCAAAGTGGCATCGGTCTATTACTACAGGAAACACCACTTCTGTTACAAGGCCTGCAAAGTGGCATCGGTCTATTACTACAGGAAACACCACTTCTGTGGCAAGGCCTGCAAAGTGGCATCGGTCTATTACTACAGGAAAGACCACTTCTGTGGCAAGGACTGCAAAGTGGCATCGGTCTATTACTACAGGAAACACCACTTCTGTTACAAGGACTGTAAAGTGGCATCGGCCTATTACTACAGGAAACACCACTTCTGTTACAAGGCCTGCAAAGTGGCATCGGTCTATTACTACAGGAAACACCACTTCTGTCACAAGGCCTGCAAAGTGGCATCGGTCTATTACTACAGGAAACACCACTTCTGTGGCAAGGCCTGCAAAGTGGCATCGGTCTATTACTACAGGAACCAACACCACTTCTGTTACAAGGCCTGCAAAGTGGCATCGGTCTATTACTACTGGAAACACCACTTCTGTGGCAAGGCCTGCAAAGTGGCATCGGCCTATTACTACAGGAACCAACACCACTTCTGTTACAAGGCCTGCAAAGTGGCATCGGTCTATTACTACAGGAAACACCACTTCTGTTACAAGGCCTGCAAAGTGGCATCGGTCTATTACTACAGGAAACACAACTTCTGTGGCAAGGCCTGCAAAGTGGCATCGGTCTATTACTACAGGAAACACCACTTCTGTTACAAGGCCTGCAAAGTGGCATCGGTCTATTACTACAGGAAACACCACTTCTGTGGCAAGGACTGCAAAGTGGCATCGGTCTATTACTACAGGAAACACCACTTCTGTTACAAGGCCTGCAAAGTGGCATCCGCCTATTACTACAGGAAACACCACTTCTGTGGCAAGGCCTGCAAAGTGGCATCCGCCTATTACTACAGGAAACACCACTTCTGTGGCAAGGACTGCAAACTGTCATTGACCTATTACTACAGGAACCAACACCACTTCTGTGGCAAGGCCTGCAAAGTGGCATCGGCCTATTACTACAGGAAACACCACTTCTGTGGCAAGGACTGTAAAGTGGCATCCGCCTATTACTACAGGAACCAACACCACTTCTGTGGCAAGGACTGTAAAGTGGCATCGGTCTATTACTACAGGCAACACCACTTCTGTTACAAGGATTGCAAAGTGGCATCGGCCTATTACTACAGGAAACACCACTTCTGTGGCAAGGACTGCAAACTGTCATTGACCTATTACTACAGGAACCAACACCACTTCTGTGGCAAGGCCTGCAAAGTGGCATCGGTCTATTACTACAGGAAACACCACTTCTGTGGCAAGGACTGTAAAGTGGCATCGGCCTATTACTACAGGAAACACCACTTCTGTGGCAAGGCCTGCAAAGTGGCATCGGCCTATTACTACAGGAACCAACACCACTTCTGTTACAAGGCCTGCAAAGTGGCATATATGCAAATATGTCTACTTCTGAGTTTGCCTGGGAAGATATCAATAAGTATGACATCTATCAGTAACCATGGTAACATGTGTGTGTCAGAGTACACGATGTAGCAGAGATATCGGTGTTGAATTTGAAATGTGAAACTTCAGTAGAGGGAGTATATGTAGGTCAAAGGTCACAGAGAAAATGTGACATAAATCAAAACATGTCTATATTTCAAAACAACACTCCCAACACTGCCTGTTATGGACAATGAAATCTGTTTGGGCGGATAATCAAGACTGGTTATTCTCTGGTGTTGATGTTTTATATTTATTGATTTCCTGCTTTTATTCATGATGAATGATGTACGAACCTCTCCTATGCAAGCAAGCCTTCAGGACGTATAGGTCACACACGTTAATGACATAATGCCTTGAAATATGACATGTAATATAAGACAGCTGAGCCATAAATTGCAAAGAGCAATGAAGAACGAAGCGTATAAAACATTGTTCTATCATGACGTCATTTCTGAAGACTCGAATATGCGCTCGCAACTTGATGATGTCACATAATGGACGAAGCTATGTCTTAGAGGAAAGTGTCTAGTGAGTTGTTCCCCTTAGATGTAGCTGGGCAAAGCAGATAAACGCAGTGGCTGAATAATCCAAAAGTGGGAGAGATATGACAATCGGTATTGGGAGAAAAGATACAGGTAATCGATGTGAGCATTGTGAGAATATGCGGGAAATACCCACCTGTGCATAAAATAGACATTGCCAAGTTAATTCTAAGTTATGTAGAATTGTACAAAAAGTTAAAAGGTTAAGATTTATTCAAAGATCAGAGTGTAAATTCTGGCTGCAATTGTCTGCAAACTATTGAAGGCCTCACTGAGGCGAAACCTGCAAGTATGGATATGCTGCTGACAACCAATTCTCAGAACAAACTGAGACCTAAACTGACTCAAAGATCTTTGTGGTGGAACCAGACACTGTTGTTTCTATAAGCATGACAGGGACATACTTCCACTGTTCATGCTTGAAGACAACAATAAACACACCGTCATGCTGGAGGCTGCCCATAGGGAGCCTCTTTCCCAACACACCAGCTGAGTTAAAACATGAATAACAACCAACAGGCCATCTGTAATGATGATGATTACTTACTCATTGTCCTTCTGCATGTGAGCAAGGCGGTCTCCAGCTTCTAACATCCACATCCAGGCACCATGATGCCATGAACCGTGTGTCCATGCTTATCACTGTCATAGGGAGCAAGGCTGTCTCCAGCTTCTAACATCCACATCCAGGCACCATCATGCCATGAACCGTGTGTCCATGCTTATCAATGTCATAGGGAGCAAGGCGGTCTCCAGCTTCTAACATCCACATCCAGGCACCATGATGCCATGAACCGTGTGTCCATGCTTATCACTGTCATAGGGAGCAAGGCTGTCTCCAGCTTCTAACATCCACATCCAGGCACCATCATGCCATGAACCGTGTGTCCATGCTTATCAATGTCATAGGGAGCAAGGCGGTCTCCAGCTTCTAACATCCACATCCAGGCACCATGATGCCATGAACCGTGTGTCCATGCTTATCACTGTCATAGGGAGCAAGGCTGTCTCCAGCTTCTAACATCCACATCCAGGCACCATGATGCCATGAACCGTGTGTCCATGCTTACACATTGCCATAGGGAGCAAGGCCATCTCCAGCTTCTAACATCCACATCCAGACACCATGATGCCATGAACCGTGTGTCCATGCTTATCAATGTCATAGGGAGCAAGGCCGCCTCCAGCTTCTAACATCCACATCCAGGCACCATGATGCCATGAACCGTGTGTCCATGCTTACACATTGTCATAGGGAGCAAGGCCGTCTCCAGCTTCTAACATCCACATCCAGACACCATCATGCCATGAACCGTGTGTCGATGCTTACACATTGTCATAGGGAGCAAGGCCGTCTCCAGCTTCTCACATCCACATCCAGGCACCATGATGCCATGAACCATGTGTCCATGCTTATCATTGTCATAGGGAGCAAGGCTGTCTCCAGCTTCTAACACCCACATCCAGGCACCATGATGCCATGAACCGTGTGTCGATGCTTACACATTGTCATAGGGAGCAAGGCTGTCTCCAGCTTCTAACACCCACATCCAGACACCATCATGCCATGAACCGTGTGTCCATGCTTATCATTGTCATAGGGAGCAAGTCCGTCTCCAGCTTCTCACATCCACATCCAGGCACCATGATGCCATGAACTGTTTGTCTATACTAACTCATTGTCATAGGAAGCAAGGCCATCTCCAGCTTCTAACATTCACATCCAGGCACCATGATGCCATGAACCGTGTGTGTCGAAGCCACTTACTAAGTGTTTCATTTCTATGAATACTTCTACTGTTTGTGTTACGTGTTGTTAAAACTACTGTCATCTCTTTCAAGTTCTGAGAAAGTGATATTTCACAACATTTAAGAAATGGACTAAAAAAAACAAAGAAAACAAAACATTCCAGTTGGTTCAGGCTTGTCATCACTGGAGTCTACATTTTATGAAATCAGCTCCTTTCCAAATATAAGATGGATGAAGGCAAGACAGCTAAACTGACATTGACGATTTGGGTTTTGTTTGACAGCTCAGTGTGGAGAGAATGTCATCGCAGGGTGTCCTTGGAGCTAAGCCAAGTCCAAAACAGGTGAGTCTCTATATATATATATATATCTTCAGAACCAGCTTCATAAATGTTATCAGAAAGGTTGGCAAGTACTTTTCTTTAATCCTTCAAAATGTAGTCAGAATTGTTAGAATTCTTCATATCCAAATCTCAAAACCCCACATTGCTACACATTCCTAATGTTACCAGAAGTAACATTTGTTCATCTGGACCTTCCTTAAGTCTACAATAAAACCCAATATTCTTGCATCCAAAATGTCGCCTTGAACTCAAAATGTGCATGGAAGTCTGCCATCATCACATGACTTCATTCATAGTGTTGAAAGTTGACACTGACCTCAAAGATTGGAGCGAGCCAGCTGACGACATACTGTGGAAGTTGCTGAGATATTTCAGAGGAAAGTTCATCATAACCGTCTTCTCTTGTCCCCTCTTGGAAGATTCCCTTTGGTAACGATATCTTTGCATTTGTACAAACAGAAATCTCTTGAAAGCTGCTTTGAAATCCCGGCGAAGAAATCCATAAATGATAGGATTTATAAGTGAGTTGCTGAAGCTAAGACATAGAGCAAAATCCTTGATGGTGACTATCATATCTGCTGGCACCCCATCAATGTATTTCATGGGGGCTAGTACGAAATAAGGTACCCAAAATATCACAAACATCAGAAGGACAAACGCCATGACCTTTGCCGATTTAATTTCTCGTTTTTGACGAAGTCGAAGTTCGTCTGGCATCCAACTAGACGTGCTCTCCATCAGTTTATGTTGCCTATAAGCAACAGAGAAGACACGAGCGTAAAGCACAATCGTCAGCGACAGGCACACAGCTCCAAGCAGGAAGTCCGACAAAATGATCCAAATCGGTGACATGACCTTGAAGATGACACAGTTTGCGTCCTCAGTCCACTTGTTCCATCCCATCAGAGGTAAAAGGCTCATTAGGACACTGTAGAACCATAAAACAAATATGGTGACCTTGACCCTGAAAGGGGTCACCAGGGCTTGGTACCTCAGTGGGTAGATAATTGCGATATATCTATCCACTGCAATACACACAAGGTTGAGCAGAGATCCCCCGCAGGAGCAGATGACTGTCGCGTAACGCACTAAACACAAGTACTTATTCTTCATTGCAGAAGCCACTTCCAGGTAATACAAAGAGTAGATTGGTAAAACAAGAACTCCAACCAGCAAATCAGCAACGGCCAAGCTTAAAATGAAGAAATTTGTTGGTACCTGGAGTTTTGGTGTTGTCAAGATGGCAATAATCACCAAAGCATTTCCGCCAATAATGAAGGGAACAAGACATAGGTCTATCGCAGCCTGAATTACACCGTATAGTTTCACATCACCTGTGTCCATGGATGTAAAAGCAGTAGAATTGCTCCAATTGGCGCCTCCAAATGTGGTCATGTTATCCATTTTGTTTCAGAAACTTCTTGTTGAACAACTTATCACCGACATAAATATTTCATGTTTTTGCTGTGTCACCACATGTCCGAAGTTCTTCACACAAACACAGATGTAATTCCCGAAAGAAAAAACCCATCAAAATATGAAAATATTAACCCATCCAGGATTGTTCTCAATAAACCAACAAGATCACACTCTCCAAGAGTGACATCTTTTCAACATATAAACATTCAGATCCAAAAACGAATGATTTTATCTTCTATGATTGTCTTCTGTTACAAAACACTGGTTAATCAATATCCACTACCCGATAATGTTGACTGTCCATCCCAGATATTTGTTCACTGTGAATCTAACTATGTCCATCAAAATTCCTGCGTCGTAATAACAGGCTTGAGCCCACCTCCACGTTGTCCTGCTCTCCGATTGGCTAGAGGGAACATCTGAACAGAGGGAAATATATCAGCTATATCTTATCCATAAAATGTTGCAGTAAATCTTTCAAGGCAATAAACTCACCCAATTAGTGTTGAAGTGGGGTTCATCATTGGCAGCGTGCAGCCTGGCCTAATGTTCCGGACACCGCCACTAGACAAGTGTGGGTCCTGATAGGCCGGGACAGACATGCGGCTGTGTGTCTCCACTCTCGATACATGGACAGTACACTAACTAATATTTCATCTAATGGAGCTTGCATCGCATAATCATGAGCTTTGTGGTAACCATGGTGATTAATAGTAGTTAAATATGATATAGTTAATGACATGAAAAGTAGCTGGACTCATGATGGTGGTAGTAAAAAGTAGGTATTTTGTTGGTAGCAGTAGTAGTTGGTTGGTTGGTTGTTGTTTAACGCCGCACTCAGCAATATTCCAAGTAGTAGTAGTAGTAGTAGTATCAGAAGTAGTAGTAGTTGCAGCAGTAGTAGTAGTAGTAGTAGTAGTAGTAGTAGTAGTAGTAGTTGAAGCAGCAGCAGCAGCAGTAGTAGTAGTAGCAGAAGTAGTAGTTGTAGAAGTAGTTGCAGCAGCAGCAGTAGTAGTAGTAGTAGTAGAAATAGTAGTAGTAGTAGTAGTAGTAGTAGCAGCAGTAGTAGCTGCAGTAGTAGTTGTTGAAGCAGTAGTAGTAGTGGTAGTTTCATCAGTAGCAGTAATAGCGGCTGTAGCGGAAGTAGCAGAAGTAGCAGAGTGAGTGAGTGAGTATGGTTTTACACCGCTTTTAGCAATATTCCAGCAATATCACGGCGGGGACACCAGAAATGGGCTTCACATATTGTACCCATGTCAGGAATCGAACCCAGGTCTTCAGTGAACGCTTTAACCACTAGGCTACCCAACCGCCCCTCATGTGTAGTAGAAGTGAGAAGCACTAAGTGCTGTCTTAGTAGTAGCTGACGTTGTAGTTGTAGATAATTGCAGTTCTTGCAGCGGCGGAGAAGTAGCAGAAGTAGAGGTGGCGGTGGCAGTAGTGGCAGTGGTGGTAGTAGTAGTAGTAGTAGTAGTAGTAGTAGTAGTAGTAGTAGTAGTAGTAGCAGTAATGGAAAGAGTAGTAGAAGTAGCAGTAGTAGTAGCAGCAGTTGCAGTGCTAGAAGTAGTAGTAATAATATAGTAATTGCAGCAAGAGCAGCTTCTAGTTATAAGTAGTAGTAGTAGTGGTTGTGGTTGTTGTAGTAGTAGCAGCAGCAGCAGTAGTAATAGTAGTAGCAGTAGCGGTAGTGGTAGTGGTAGTAGTAGTAGTAGTAGTAGTAGTAGTAGTAGTAGCATTAGTAGTAATAGTAGTAGCAGCAGTAGTAGTTATAGTAGTAGTAGTAGTAGTAGTAGTAGTAGTGGCAGTGGTGGTAGTGGTAGTGGTAGTAGTAGTAGTAGTGGTGGTAGTGGTAGTAGTGGTGGTAGTGGTAGTGGTAGTAGTGGTAGTGGTAGTGGTAGTGGTAGTGGTAGTAGTAGTAGTAGTAGTAGTAGTAGCTGAAGTCATCAGATGTAGCTGCCTGGTTGTATCTGCACACACACTCCCATCACCTCCATGACATCAGGATTACTTCAACATTTACTGGCCAACTGACCCAGAAAACTACATTTAGAATTTGATATCTAAAAATCAACAAAACCACATTTGTGAACAGGAAGAGAGAGGTCACCCAAAACAGTTCACTTGTCCAATCAGTAGATCATCAAGGCCAAACACAACTAGTTTTACATATCATAACTTGTGTCAGCACAACGCATCCGACAATGTACACTCAGATAACTCAGGGTTATTTAAACATTTATCTACATACCTCGCCTAAACACGGGAGGCAGGAAGAGACTCGGTGCAGTCAAGCAGTCATCACCTGTCACTGTGTCGAGTAGGAGTTACCGATGCATCACGATACTCTAGTCATGTAGGAATTGTATTGGTATCTGAACGCATGATACAGAATGTTGACATTTCTTGATTCTTTAGATGACTATGGACATGATTGGGGACAGGAGAATTTTTATGGACAACAGCTTCATTATACTTTGTAAGAATGTTTCAGGGCTACTCCTTGTGTCTTAGTCAGCAGAATATTGAGTCAGTCAGTCAGTCACTTATTGGTTCAACATCTGCTCTTGATCTGGTCAACATTGTTGATGGGGTCAGATGGGCTTGATTTCATAATTAGTTAGGACAATAAGGCATTAACACCTGACCCAAGGTATTGTAAATGGAAAGTTAAAAAAGTTTAAAAACATATATGAAAACAAAAAGTGAACAATTGCTAATACTTATTAGAAAAAATAAAAAGTATAAAATACTACAACCAGGACTTTCCATACCTAGGGCCACGCGGAATTACACTCAGGGCCTAAAATGGAATATACAAATTTAAAATAAAATTTAATATACAGGTACATTCAACAGAAAGTGCAAGTTCGACTTCTGCATTCTATGAAGCTATTTCCTGTTCAAATGTAATATCCATGTATTATATTTTCTCAGTTAAAATGACTAAAAAAAAATCTGATTTTTTTCAGCGAAGGGCATCCAATATTTAGGTAAGAAAGCATAAGCTTCCGAAATTGAGCCCTGGGTTTAACTTCGGATAAAATATTTGAGCATGATGAGAAGGCACAATTTTCTGTAATTAGGATGAGGGCTTAAATACGGGAAGTCCTGACAAGAGAGTAGAGAGAGTGAGTTGGGGAGATGGGTTTAACACTGCTTTTAACAGTATTCCAGTTACAGTGTGTCAGCTTAATGTTGGAGGAGAGCCCGTAGTGATGAGAGGGAGAAGATAAGATAAAAGTGTATCAGTTAAGTTAACACATATACATGCCAATATGTTTACACGAGGTGGGATTAATGTAGAAAGATAACACTATAACGAGAGAGAAGCCAATTAAGTGCACTGAAGGTGCAGAGATGGGGCTGGGTGTAACAACAATCAAGATGTCGGATAATGAGTTAAATCACAGTGACCTCAAGTTCTTCCAACTTCTAAATGTCTATAAAGACCAAGTTGACTTTTATTGTCAATGAGTGAGTGAGTTTGATTTTACGCCGCTTTTAGCAATATAACAGCAATATCACGGCAGGGGACACCAGAAATGGGCTTCACACATTGTACCCATGTCGGGAATTGAACCCGGGTCTTCAGCGTGACGAGAGAACGCTTTAACCACCAGGCTACCCAACCGCCCCGACTTTTATTGTCAAAATGTTGGGAGATAATTGACATACATATAGTTCAATGAGTGCACAAGATACAGTACAGGAGCAAGTGTAAAATGAAGGCGTATTATAAGTCGTCGCAAGGTCACTTGAGTATATGTGGTTTAATGAGTTTTGTCAGAGGTGAGCGGCATAAAAAATAATGAGGGACGTATAAAACCACATTTACCCAGAGTGATAATGCTATAACAAACTTATCAACTTATCTTGCAGATATGTTTCAATCTGCCATGGTAAGGGAGTTGTAAAGCTGTTTGATTGAGCCGAGGTGAACTTGTGCTGGGTCACGTGACTTTCATTGACTCGTAAACAATGTGTGGCTTTTTGCTTCATAGAAGGGTGCAAGATATTTAATCTCCCACTCAGAGATCCACATGCAGCCTGTCTTCTTCATGGCGGGGTAGAAGAGATTAGTTTTTACTGCTCAGAAATGTATTTCCCTCCCAGGTGGGATACATTATGTTGTAACAGTATCACGAGTGGTACATGTGGTTGTATGCGCCCCGGTATAAAACCTTATAAGGGGACCCGTGAAGATTCACATGTACCCTTTGTGATACTGATACAATAAATTTATCTTATCGACAGGTCTTAATGACATTATAAAAGAATTCAAACAAATTCAAAATTGATAGAAAACACCTGTTTAATTCAGCTGAGGTTAACTTGTCCTGTGTCACATGACTTTCATGGACTTTGGTTATGTATTATCACAATTAGAAATGCATAGAATAACACCAGAATTACAAATTATCGAAGGCTCATGGCTTATTAACTTGGGACAAAGAGTCTGTAATTCCGTGTAGCTCACATCTTATTCTCTAACCTATTTTATCTAATCCATAGATTATGCCAGTGTAGCGGCCATAAAATTTCCAAGTCCCGTGATGGGATTAGAACCACGAACCTTCTAATCTGAGGTCGGACGCCTTGTCCACATGGCCAAAGAGGTTAACCCCCGTCAGCAAGCTGACAAGGTAAAGGATGTCATCTGTAGGATGACTCCACGCCCTGCTACATACTTCCCCATCAACAGAAGGCATGTCCCGGGCCGCATAGTATGGTACAGAGACTTATTTTGCGCATATTTACTATGTATGTGCTGAGCCCCATGTTGGGCACCAATGTTGTGGCCATAAAATCTCCAAGTCCTGTGATGGAATTCGAACCACGAACCTTCTGATCAGAGGTCGGACGCCTTGTCCACATGACCTAAGAGGTTAACCCCGTCAGCAAGCTGACAAGGTAAGGATGTCATCTGTAGGATGACTCCACACCCTGCTAAGCCAGCATAACGAGCGATGCATGCATTGCAACTCATACTCATGAGCACAGCATCGTGTTGACAGAACAACGATAACGATGGTCCTTGATTAGAACTGGAAACAGCCGATGCTGGCTGACAGGGGACATAACTCTACTGCATCAAACCTAACAGGACAACTTTGAAGTCAACTGTCAAAGATAAATAGGTTATTAGCCATGACTAATATTATCTAAATTAAAAACATGGCCACAATATGCTAATTATCTAATTCTTGTTTATTTTCATATAAACCGTCCTGGCCATGGTGTACATTAACCATCTGCCTATGTGATTCACATAGAGAATGAATGTTTGGCACATGTATATTGTGTGTTTTAGAAAGTGGGTGAGGTGAAATGGGGTTTAACATTGCATTTGAGATTATGTCACTACCATAGTGACGTGCATGCACTTGTCGGAGTAGCTGCTTGTACTAGTCTGGCCATTTTTTTTAGCAAGCCCACTAATACATCATGGCCCAGTTTAACATGGATACCCCACTCACATA